AAAAAAATAGATCTACATGAGACACATCCGTTTGATGTGCATTAACGAGACACAAGGTCAACAATGTACAAAAACAGCACAAAGGAAAAGAGACGCATCGATTCATAGAAGAACAATACTAATAACATAACAACCACATATGAAACCGATGTTTTACATCATATGAGCGGCAAAGACATATAATGTACTTACCTTGCACACCAATACTACAGAAATGGTGCATAAAAAGTGGTTAGCAAATGTGAAAGATGTCCAAGATGGTGAAAAGGTAGCTCTTTTATCGTATGGCAGGGAGAAGATCAACGAGAAGTAAGTATGAAATTGCTAGGTAGCATTGATTATAATGTTTAAACAGCGGAAAAGCCGTGAACGATAAATTAGCAAATAAGAAACGAATGAACCAAATTTGTCACTGGTAAAATCAACAACCTAGTGAAGACGGTGGTTACTGTAATTACAGAAATATAAAAAGCTCATAGAAAATTTAGACCTAGATCACATAAAACAGTCTACGTCTTTTTGTGCACTCCTACACGACCCTTCGGCCTCCCAGCCTTATGCAAAACAGATCCATCTTCATGCGACACCGAATCATTCTTCGCACATTCAGAAATTCTCGGTTCACCTTTCACCGTCTTTTTCAACAGAGATCTCCTCAGCTTCTCAGGTTTATTTTGTGATCCTGCCGCTCGACTACTGTCACTGTCAGGAGTGCTCCGATTTGCCTGCGCCCTGTAAGTTAGGCATTGCAGTCAGAAAATGAGATTTATCAAAAAAATTGTATTTCAATCAAGAGCTATTTGCGTCTCCACTTCGAACCTGAGACTACTTCCTTGACAAAACCTCCTCTGTATGTAAAGCATGAAATTAAGCTAGAGATACTGGGGAGATGCTTAGAGATATGCTTGCTCAAAATTAATATTACATCTGTGCTGCAGAGCGTCTTGAGACCAGTTCGAACATATTAAGAATTCCGCCACCAAATCAAGACTGTTCATAAACATGGATGCTACATAAGACAGAAAGAAATTTTACCGTAAAACTCACGTTTAATGGTAAGTTTTCTCGCACCTCTGGGTAGCTTGGCAATACTCAACAGAAATGTACGCGCAAAGAACTACTAAATAACCCTCTTATGACGCAAGATGCTATATCAATTACAATGATTACTGATGCAGTAGCAGTTACAAAATTCGTACGAAATCATTAGAACAACAGAAGCTCACTTGATACTCTTCTCGATAGGCACAAATTTGTTCCACGTTTGTCCATAGTTATAGTCGAATAACAACTCTTCTCCAAATAAAATGTGACGACTTGCATAAACACCTATTCGATGCTCACCATTAACAATTTTTATCTGAAAAATGAACTTCGAATTGTGCACGAAGCAAGAAAAGACTGATTAATCTTCCAGGGCCGGACTCTTGCGATACGCACTTCGGATGAGCAATTTGCATTGGTATTCGAATGATTGGCAAAGCGAATGAGATTACCGACCCGAGTCGCGTCAATGAACTGGTCATTGTTCATCCCTGTAACGAATTTATAAACGAAGATGAAATACGCGATCCGTAAATCAGAACTCACCAAATATATAACTAGTACAGAATTTATCATAAATAAGACCGCGTCTTTCTGATTCCCACTTAGAGATCACCTCACCGGTGTATTCAGCGATTAGATCACCCTATAGCATGAGTAGAAGAATTATAACGCAGTCGTTTAAGGGAGAATTTGAAAGAAAATTAGCAAATGAAGGATAATGACAAACCTTATCAGCCGTTTCTTGGATAAAACAACCCCACCCTGCAATGCCTGAGATGCCAACCTTAAATATAGTTGGTAAAGTGTCACTACGTATTGCTATCAAATAGATCTTACTTTGAGGAGTTTTTGATGGCCGCGCTGTAGAGGAACATTACGGCACTTCTCGCCATCCATAGATAGATCGTCTAGATGTCAAGCAGGTAATTAGACAACACAACGATGCTACTTTTAAGCATGTAATTAAGATGACTTTCAAACTTCACATCTACCTTGTGTAATGTATCTTGCGTCTTTTACGTACCAAAACACCGAGACACAATGCTTCCTACTCACGCTTGAGAAAAAAAGAAGATGGAGAGCAGAAAAAAGTGAATAATTCAACATATTTACCACATTTGCAAGACTTGCACAAATCCGGGTCGCACTCCCATCTGGCAAAATAGCACTGACATTGCTTCGTTCGGCAATTCCCTGAAGTTAAGCCATTGTTTTAAGCATGCACTTAAGATGACTTTCAAACTTCTAATACATCTTCTTGTGTAATGAAGGATTT